TTCATAACAGGTAGCTCTAGTGAGTTCAAATATTCATCAATTTCTTCTATAGTTCCTCCAGAGATTTTTTAATATAAGGTTTTATAAAATATTTCGAATGCTTCCTGGATGTCATTTAATTTATTCTTTAACAATTTTGATTCGGGGTTTCTGATTCTATGGATCGTGTTGTCTGCTGTTTTCTTTTTTAGTTTCCATGCTAGGACCTTCATAGATTTTGATCCGCCTTCATAGTGTCTTTGCTTAAGATACATGAAGTTTTTCATAATTTCCTGTGTTGCTATATCATTTATTTCATTTCTAATTCTTTTTAACTCTTCCAGTATATCTGGTGTACAATTTTGTTTTTGTTTTTGTTCTAGATCTTCCAATTTTTTTATGTAATTCCTCTGTTCTTTTATTTCTTAGTTTTTTTAGGTGCGATGACATTGCTATAAAAAATCTGCTTTCTAGTGTCGCTACTTTAGTCCCAAGATGTAAATCCTAAACCTATCTAAGTATTATCATGTATTTTTTAAAATCATTATTTGCTTCAAATGCTCACATGGTTTTAATGTAATAAATTTTCCCCTGATGGAATATACAATTAGTACAAGATACTCACAGCAGGTCAAACACCACGCCTTCCTCAGTGCAGACGGGATACTCAAATGGTTGCAAGGACAAACTGAAAAGAAAAAAAACATTAACAAAAAACATTTGCTAAATGAAAAAAAAAAAAAATAGCAAAGAATGATACAAGAAAAAAATGGTACCAAACATGTTGCATCTATAAAGACACTAAAAAAAGTCCTGTGCAGCTCTAATAAAGCAAATGACTGCAGTTAAAATATGCTAATGCAGTGCTGTAAAGCTGGGTCTATTATTTCTAGCATGTTAAGAGCTTACAAAGGAAACAACAATGTGATGCAGGGAAGTAATGAAAGCATCAAGAATGGGAAACTGAAGCAATGTGTCTTAAAACAGACATCGCTCAACATGGGAAAACTGACACATTCTGCTGTTGGAGATGTTTTCTAGACAAACTATTTGTCTAAGGCTTGTAGATTTTAACGTTATGGTCCTTTTTACTAAATGCAATATAACTTTTATACTGTTGATATTTTTAGTCTTTTTTTTTTTTTTAGCATGACTTTTCAATCATCCATCTAGAAAATTGCAGATGAAAAATAGTCTCCTGACTAATCCTGGCATATTTACAGCAAAGTTATTAACAGACATTGTCCCTGCAATGAATAAAAAGAACTAGAACAAAACATCAACATCTACAAAAAAGAAACAAAGCTCCACGGGTTATATAGAAGCGGTCGCAGATTGGGAATCATTAAATAAAAATCAAATGTGACCAGTTCTGTGTTTCTTGCTTCTTTTCAAGGTTTTGATTCTATTGCCATAATCCTTCAATTTTTTTATATTTTAACAATAATATTGTTTTATTTGTTTGGGCTTCTTTCACAAAGTTTAAATTTTAAATGGACTAGTCTGTTATTTTTTCTAATAGATTTTATTCTGTTCTACTCTTCATCTCCGTCTATATCCAAAGAACTCAAAAACTGCATGCAAACATTTTTTTCTCTTAACATCATTCCTTCTTACCTGCAGTGGTCAAATGGGAGACGTTTAAAGTTTGCTTGGGGAATTTCTGGAAAATAAAGCATAAATTAAAAATCTAAGCACTGAATTTTATTCAGGTTAAAAAAAATCATGTCAACAACTATTATCTAAAACAAGAATGAACATAGTTTAAACCTGTTGTATATAGAGAACCAAAGACGACATGCAAAGTGAGAAAATTGTCTTGGGAGCCTAAAGAAATCCGTTTATGCTACACTGCATGGAGAAAACTCTGCTATCCTCATAAAAAAAAGACAAACTACACAAACTTCAGTGTAGAAGTAAGGGTTTTCTCAAACTACAAGCCACAGAGTATTGTTTATTTATATTGTTAAAAAAAGATCCTCAATAGCTGTCACCAAAAATGGGACAAGCTAGTCTTTTTGGGGTCCACAAAACAAAGCCAAAATTACTTAACAATTAAACATTGTAGACATTAGTTAAGTATTATTTATGTGATTAGAAATCATTCAGAATACGTTATTACATTCATATCTAATACATGAATTCTCACTTTCATACAGTAAATATGTTAATTCACTACTCATTCTAATAATTAAAAGATACTTAACTATTCAGTTCACATATATTCAGTGGGCAATAATTCCAATAACTGATAAATAACACAATAAATAACTTCCCTCTAAGGCATCTGATTTTGGACATGGTAACATCATCTGACCACCATTAGCTGACCTTGTTACATAAGAGTGAACCTGATCATATCTGACAATTTGCTTTTATAAGAAAACAGGTTGAAAAGAAGAGACAATGTTTATAAAAAATGTTGTAGTATTGCAAGCCAGTCTGTACTCTACCATTAAATAAGAAAAATGACAGTGCATACTGACAGCGTGTTCTTATGAAACAATGTAAAACCAACCTGGCAGCTCTGTTCTGAGCAGTTTGTAAATTCCTTAGTTGACCTTTAGATGCGGAGGACCATACAGGTGAACAATAATCCAGGTGACATAAAATTAACTATTTAGCCACCCGTCCCACAATATTTGTAGGGACATAAGAAAGATTTTCCTCACCATCATCAGCCCTGAAATAAGGACCATACAAGAGTGGAGTTTGGAAATGACTGAAAACCATCTCAGGTTACAAACAGAGCTCCCAGGCTGTAGGTGTCTTTGGTTGGGTAAATATACTGAATCAGTTCTCCCTCAGGTTTTAACAGCCTTTCCCTCCACCTCTAGCCTCAAATGCTGCAGAACTCATCTGGCTAAATGCTGTTAATCTCAGATCTCTACATCTCCTGGTTCTTGGTAATCATCCATCCCACTGCTCCATCAAACAGCAAACCTCCATGTTTTCCTCTGGCTGCCATCTACAAATGTTCTCACATCACTCCTCCATAGCCCTCCTCGGGAAGTGGTGCCAGCAGAACCCTCTCATTCTGAATACAGGGGAAACTAAGGAGCTGGTGATGGACCCACACAGCTGCAGATCCACCTCACTGACATTTCCAGGGAACTCATTTTGGAGGAGCAGTAGTTATAAAGAAAAAAGATACTGGTTGCACAGGTTCATTATCTGAGCAAGACTTATTTGCCATTTCCTTTCTGCTCAATATGTGTCTTACAGATGTTAAGGATATTGATGAGTACTTTCAGACTTTAAATCCTGCTCTTGAGGCGTTTCTTTCCAACAATCGTCCTAATTTGTCCACCATTCTGTAACCTGACTCCAATTTTCCTCTTGTAACTTCATAATTTCTTATTTTTATTGGATTTTTCTTTTATATAACTAAATGCATAGTAGTTACTATTTCTGAGGGGCATTTCCTTTCTCTTCTGAGGAACAACTCAATGCGTACTACTGTGTTATTTTAACATTATTTCAGTTTATGTCCCGTTATCCCCCCCACTGTGGGACATGGATGTATTTTTACTCACCCGCTCGTTTCCCGCCATAAAAGTTTGTGTATTCTGTACATGTGATGTACCTGTAATAAAATTAAAACACGTAAACGTTAAGAAGAGTACATAAACATAAAGAGGAAACTCAGAAAATCTTCTCATGAAGAGACACATCGAACAAGCTAACGTGTGTTGGCAAGCTAGCTTTTTAGCGCTAGATGTAAAACGTCTTGTTTATGAAACATTATCATCTTACATTTTGTCCTTTTGGTGCTGTCGCTTCCCCATCTTACTGACTGGATGGTTTTGAGCTAACAAATACGATTAAAAAAGTAAAATTTTATCAATAAAACATACAAGCTATTAGCCTGTCTGTACGTTTCCTGTTTATATTTTTGTTCTTCTTCTGTGGATTTTTTGGGGGCAGTAGGGATCCAATATATCTCAATACTGCCACCCTCTGGTCACACGTTGGCCAATCAGTTACATATTTCTTTAATTATCTTAATATGATTAGTATATGTCAAAAGCACTTTTTTCTTTCATTTCTATTTAACTGAAGTAATATATCTTTACAACTTAGTTACTTAGTAATCAGCAACTTAATGGGTAAAATTTTCCTTTATCTGCTACTGTAACAGGTGGCACTGATTGGCTCCTCAGCGATTGTTAAAGGATGGATGAGGAATAGATGTGGCATGATCAGAACATTTTAACAGAGTTCTGTCATGTTTGTAACTGTGCTCTTGTTGTAAAAATAAAAAATAAAATTTATCATATTTTTGTGGTTTCTCAAATTGAATGCAGGACATTTCTTTGGATGTTTTGGATTTATTCTGGATATTGCAGGTAAGGTTTCTCCATTTATTTGCCAATGTGCTGTTTCTCATTGTGCCCTTTTTGAGTTGAGTTAAACTAATTGTTTGATGGAAGCTGCGCAGAACATGAGAGGAAGGACTTACCTCATCAGAACTTCATCCCCAGAGTATTGAAAACATTTGCCCCTTCCAATTTAAAGACTGATGGCTGTCTTTACCTTAATAGATTCTACATATCATTGCTAATGTTTTTTTTTCTTCCTTCCTTCTACTAAGGATGTTTTTATTATCTATAAGTATACATACACACCATAATGAACAACTGTTTTAACTGAAGAGGAAAGTATTCCCGATGGTTTTAAGATATTTCCACTCTCAGTTTGGTTAAATTAAACTTTCTCTTGAAAGTTATCTGCTCCCTAAACAATTTTGACAGTGCCGAGTTTTTTGTTTTGTTTTCCAAACTTTCAAAATTCTGGTTGAGCACAACAATCCTGACTACACATAAACAAAAACTCTGCAATACCTTCAAGAATAGCACCAAATTGTTTTTTGGGGGGGATGCACCTTTTATATATATATATATATATATATATATATATATATATATAACACAATCAAAATCTGTAAACACAGCACTAGGATGAATGATGCACTAACTGCCTAAATAACAAAACACAGTAAAGGTTGAATTAATCTGCAAGTTTATTATTTCTTGGCATATCACTGATATTTATGGCTACAAGAAAAAGAAGTAATCAAATAATGTAGAAGGGCATCAATGATGAACTCACAGTTGGTAACGTACCGAGGTGTGAAAATTTATTTGCTCACATACAGACTTTTACATTATTTTATTTTTGTCACACTTTAATATTTCAGATAAATAGTTGTAATATTGAATGAAAACGGCCTGAGCATTTACAGAAATTGTATTTCTCAAATTAAAAAAACTATTCAAACCGGCCAGGCTCACTAGGAAGCACTAAACAGCCCGTCTAAATGTATGTTTCACGCTTGGCTGAGTTGGAGTTGTTCATAACAAGCGATCCGTCTAACACAGTTGGAGTTTAGTAGTCGCCATCTTACTGCAGAATCAAATTGTAAATGTGCCTAAGTTTCTCTTTTAATGACTGGAAATACATTTTTTTTTTCAGATATCATTATTCATGATATCATTTAGTCTTCCAGGTGTTGAAGAAGCAAACCGTCCCAAATCATCCGATTCTCACCGCCATGTTTGGTTGTGACTGTCTCTCCTTAAATGAGGTGTTATCTTTCCAACCCTTTCCAGACTGATCAATGTCAGTAAGTTGTTTTTTCTACAGAGGCTCAGCTCTGAATATATCTGGAGTTCTGCTAATAATTATACCTGGGTCTCATCTAGATTTCCAAAAACATTTAACCAATCTCTTTAAACTAATAATTTAAAATTATCACTTTAGGTTTAAATCGCCTTTTACCCCTTGATGCATAAAATTACAATTTTTTTTTTTAGTAACTGAGGTGATCTTTGCCCAGTATTTAAAATTTGTTGCATGAAACATTAGTCACAAAAGAAAAGGTAAAACTGTAACGAGGGCAAACATGTTTTCACACCACAGTATGATGGATAATGTGGTGCAGAAGTTTCATTCAGATCGCCTGTTCTACACATTTTCAGACATGTCAACAAACTGAACATTTATTTTACCCTCTTTCTCACTCCACACACAGAAGGAATGAGGAAATGACTGACAAGATACTTCTGTCAGAAACCGGAATTATATCTTTAACCAAATTCTTGATTTGGTTCATAAAGGGAAAATTGAATACAGGGCAGCAGCACTGCCTGTGTACCTGAGTTACTGCTGGCTTGCATGTCATCAGTAATAGCACTTTGAAGGCTGATAAAAGAAAAACCAGAAGAGTTTGGAACAGTTAGACCCTGCCTTTACACAGGGGAGGAGAATAAAAACAGAAAACTCAACAACATATGAATGTTCTCATCCTTGGCACTTTATCTGTTAGGCAGAATCAAACTCGCACCTGTTAGCTGTCGCTGACAAACACACAGATTTATGACTCAATGAAAAAAAAAAGCAGAACAGAGATGCAATAAACCACGTAAGAAACAAAAATAGAAATAATGAAAAGACAAGAGGTTCAAAAGTCCATGAGTCTGATGGTAGTTGGCTTGCTTGGAAAGTGCAATATGTGGTTTGTTTGTTTGTTTTTTTTTCTTCTTACAGAGCAAAAATGATAAAAGCCAAAACATTTTTAACATAGGTTCTCTGGAGAACAACAGGAGTCTCCATGGGAACGGTAAACGTGGCCGGATGTTTTCGGCTTTTTTTCTTCTTCCAGTTTAATGGGTTTGCTTCGATAAAAACAGTCTTCGAGTGTTTGGGTGGAAAAAAGCACAACAGAAGATCACCGCAGGTCCATCATGCGCACAGAGTCATCCGTGATGTTCACATGTCCTGCATGCTGAAAATAAAGAAACACGTTTAAATTTACACATGAACAGAAAGCAACCACAACAGCATAAAGGATTTTAGTCTCAACCCAAGTTTGTTTATTGCCGTTTTTTTATTTTTTTTATTTCAATGATTCTAAAAGATCTTCATTATTATAAAACTCCAGAAACGACTTTCTGTCCTTTTTCAAAAGCTGCTGCTGGATGAGAAATGTGCAGCGGAGGCCTAGAAGGTCATCGAAACCACATTTCCCAGAATCGCTGATGTTTGTTTCCAGCAGTCATTGGTCAAAAGGTGGAAGACACCCTGAACAGGCAGCCCATCCATCACAGGGCAACATTACAGCAGAGGAAGATGGACACCCATTTAGAGATGATTTAAAGGTTAACCTACAGGGATATTTTTGAAATGGACTTCTGACACGTTTATTGATACCCATTCTTCTCAATACTCGATAAGACAACACTTCCTCTATGTCTGTTTACAATGCTTAAGTATAGAGAGGAATCTTGACAATTTAATCTCTCCTGATCATCCAGTCATGGGTCGGCTTTTAAGTTCCTCAGCTTTCCTCCAAGGTTTTCTACAGGAGTTAGGTCTGGAGGAAACCGTAGAACCGGTAGGAATACTTTCTGTCTTTCTGTGTGGCATTCATGTTTTTTTTGTTTTTTTTCAAAGTCCAAACTACATCCAGATTCCACTTTGATGGGTAAAATTCATCTAATCTTTAGGAACCCAGCCCAACTGTCTGTAGATTTCACTGCTCTTTAAACGACTTTAAAGCATTTCTGTTTTATTTCTAAATACAAATGTAATCCATTTTATTATTTAAAAAGGCTTCAAATATTCAGTAGCTCTTTGGAATCTTCTCCAAGATATCTACCTTTAATTTTTTTCCTGTTATTCTTTCTTATTTTGTGTGTTTTACTTGTTTGATCTGTTTTTTTGTTATTATAAGAAAATTTATAAATGATAATATATTTCCTATTTTCAATTTATTTCCTATTTTTTAGTGCTGATAAAAACCAAACAATACGCACACAATTAAGTTGTAGGCTCAGAACTTACATGACACTTGATTGTAAGACCAAAACAAACGGTTTAAATGCTGTGAGCTTTCAAGTATCTTCTCTGAAAAACTAGATAAGAACCACAATTTAAGCAAATACTCCTTTACCAAAATATTTTATTATCCATTGAAAAGAGGATTTAATATGTAGATATTTTTCAGAGGCGCTGAACGGTGGAGCAATGAGTAGCGCTGTTGCATTGCAGCAAGAAGGTTCTGGGTTCAATTCTGTCTTTCTAGAGATTGCATGTTATCTCCAGGTTCTACTCAGGCTTCCTCCCTCATTCCAAAAACATGACTGTTAGGTTAAATGGATTCTCTAAATTATCCTTAAAGTTGTAGGGAAACAACTGTTGCATCCAACTGTTGCACTTCCGAATTCTTCGGAGTGGTGCAAGACTTTACACGAGTGAATAAAGTGAATGTGATTGGTCGATTATCAAGCAAGCAAGTTTGATTGTGGCTGGTGTCTCGGAAGCATCTTGCTAACCAGTTAGCAACTTAGTGCTAGTTGGTTCCCAATGGGAAATTACATTGGGACCAAGTTGCACTAGATTGGTGACTTAGAAACGGCACTGTCAAGGAACGCTATGGTCAGAGGAAACATGCAAGAGGAGCAGTTTTGTGTTGAAGGTCCTGGATGAGTCTCCTCCGTCATACATTTTTTATTTAGAGGAGGAAAGTGTGGACGAATTGTTGTGGAAGAGGACGACGCCAGGGTGTAAATGATTATTTCTTATTTCAGCATTTGCATATATTAGCTGCTACATATGAATCAAGATGCTATGAGTGAAAAAAATTGATTGGCAGATGAACCGTGAAAAAAGAATGGCCCAAATTAAGGGGAAAAACCGAACGAAAAACAAACGGCCAACAAAAAAAAAACAAAAAAAAAACCAAAAAATTAAAAAGTTATTTTTTTTTTTTAAACAGAAATTTTTCTAAATTTTGGGAAAACATAATCTGATAAAGAGTACATTTATATACATGGTTAAGCCAGAATGATATGACATTTAAACATGATTTCCCTACGACTATAAGTGTGTGTGAGTGTGTGTGCATGGTTGTGTGTCTCTGGGTTTTTCCTGCAACAGACTGGCCTTTCGACAATAGACTGCCAATCCGAATATTAGTGTTTACTTTTCTAACGCATGCTTTTAAATACTCACTGTGAAGAGAGGCGGATCCTTGCTGTGAGGGTGGAACCCCTTCTGTTTACATGAAGAGATCTCGTTCGTTCCTCGATCAGTTAGCCTGAAGTAGCCGATCCTGATGCAGAGAAGGAGAGACAAGGTCAGAGGAGGAAAACCTGCAAGCAGCCTGCAGACAGGCGTGTCAGTGCGAGAATGTTTAGGACAGAAGGCATTCTCTAGGAACAAGTTTTCCAACTAACTCATTGAATTTAGGTGAGCAGACAATGGCGATGGCCTCGGGAAGCATGATCTGGTAGGAGCAGTGTGTGTGGAGGTCAACGCTGGATAGGAAGGCCGTCTGTGTGGGATGAGTCTGGGGAAAAAATATTAGTATAATTTCAAACTTAAAAAAAATGAGAACATGGCTTCAGAACATTAAAATTACAATCATGACAAACTCAGAATCTTAAATGTATCTAATACCACTTAACTGCATCAAACTCAGTAAATATGTCTATATTTACAGTTTCGACTTAATCCTTCTGCTCACTTTGGAGGGATTTCACCTCACCTCATCACCTGAGACTGAACTGGAATGAATGTAATTTAATCTAAATCTGTTCATACAGTTGTAAAAAAAAAAGATTAAACCGCCCCATTTAAAAATATATATTTTAATTCTCCAGGTGATGGAACAACATGAGCAACTGAATGGAGGGACTGAGACCAGATGTTCAGCATCAAGGCAGCTCTCTTCTTTTCTAAAAACATGCCAGGCAATTATAATACATATATTTGGACCAGGAGTTTAAGGTTTTTAAGATTTTAAATAATTAATTTTATATATTTTTAACATGTTAAAAAAATTAACAAAATTAATACAATTTTTTTACATATTTAAGTCTAGTGCGGGAACTTTTGTATTCGCTGTTTCTTGTANTGGTTGAGCACAACAATCCTGACTACACATAAACAAAAACTCTGCAATACCTTCAAGAATAGCACCAAATTGTTTTTTTGGGGGGATGCACCTTTTATTTATATATATATATATATATACACCGTGTGTGGGTTTGTGTGTGTATACATACAAGTTTGTGCAATTTCTTATCCTGGGCAAATAATAAGGTAAAGAAGACTTATAAAAATGTAAGACAAAACAAAAAAACAGATGAGGTGGAAATGGCTGAACATTTAGAAATCTGATTCTTTTATTTAAAAAGACCTTTTTGAAATATGTTGTATTAAAGAGGATCGGAGGGAGAGAACTTAAGAAGGCAAGACAGAAGGGATGAAAGAACAAACTAAAGCAGGAGAAGCAGAAATGGATGAGAACAGGCAATAAGATGGGTAAATGTGTGGATCTATGAATGTAAGGATGGATAGAGCAAACAACAGCTGATCAGACAGGTCTGGATGAATGAAAATGGATGGAGTTTTTTTTTTCTTTCAATATGTATCTAGATAGTTCCAGGTTATGAGAGTACACAGATCAAAATGCTTTCCATGATTAGATTTGAGATTTTTCAACACCTTTCTCCCATCAGCTTCCTCTGCCTCACCACTGAGTGGACCAGGATGAAAGCTCCCATCAGGAGAACTTGGCAGCTTCAGATGGTATCTAGAAATTCCTGTTTTAAAGAAAAAACTTGAATGGAAGTGGCTTCCTTTTACTCACATGTATCCAACCGAGGGTGATGAGGTCATACTGGTCCTGGATGAGGAAAAGCTCCTCTTCGTTTTCAGTGTCACAATAGTCTGGCCCACCGCACTGCTTGGGGACGATGACGTGAGTCACAGTAAATGCATTTCTGAGCTGAAACGAACACAAGAGTCCCACGGTCAAATAATATGCAAACGGTTATTCACAGAGTGTAGGTGTGCAAAATAAACATTCAGCAGTACTGTACAGCTTTTTAACAAAGGGAAAACGAGTTTTAGAGTTTTAGAAAGTAAACAACAGAGAGTGAAGCACTTTAAACAAAAGCGGCCGTACAACCATGAGGAGAAGGCTGAAGAAAGCAGCCCTCTGTAGAAAGAAGTAAAGGGTGTGTCAAAGCCTCAGAAATGTTTCAAATCAGAAACTAACTAGAATGGATTACAACACAAATGTTGAGACGGATCCTCTCAAATCAAAGCATAACAATTTCTTATTGATTGGAATCTCAGACCATGCATATTTTTCTTTCAATGTCACCAATATGCACCAAGCTGAGCACATAAAATCCCAATGATATAAAGTGAAGTGGTCATAATACTGAAAAAACAAAGAAAAAAAACACTTGTCTCATTTATGCTTCTGATTTAGAAATATGATAACAGCCACTTGTCTCATTCTCATCTGATCCCCAGACTAACCAGTTTTCCGCACAGGATCCCACAGGTTTCCACAGCTCGGCTCGTGTTGGCCTCAGCCAGCCTCAGGAAGCTCCGGCACAGCTCAGCAGGAACGGCCAGCTGCCGGAGGGCGTCCACCATCGTATCTGTGGAAACCATGCAAAGGAGGAAGTCGGCAGCTGAATGGAAAAGAAGCTAAGGCTCCTGAGATGCTTGGTGGACGGTGCAAGGTGTTAAACAAGAACTAAAGGAACTCACTGTTGTTTCCTGGGCTGACCAGAGAGCCAGGTTTGAGCGAGCGGTCGAAGCTGGGTGGAGCTGTTGCAGGTGTGCCCGGGGTCGCAATAGGACGAGGATATTGTTGGTCGTTGGCGGCAGACGGATCTCTGGGGCTCAGAGGAGCTGTTGGGGATACCAGCGGCGGGCCCTGGATGCCAGGGATGAGGGGCGTGTCGGTGGAGGGCGTGACCGGAGTGGCAAACTCCAGGAGAACTTGCTGTCGTTCCTTTTCGAGCTCCTGGCGGCGGATCATCTCCTCAAAGGCACTGAACTGCTCCTGTTCCCGCTGCCGCCTCTGCATCACGGCTACGCGTTCCCGCTCGGCGTCCAGAGCACGCTGCCTTGACTGCTCCCGCTCCAAAGCCTCCTCCTCCGCTTTCTGCAGATAACAAACACCAAAGCTCAGTAAAAGGTCTGTTCCGACTAGGGGTGGGTATTGGCAAAGAAGTCATGATTCGATTCGAATCACGATTCACATGCCACGATTCGATTCTATCACGATGCATCACGATACTTGAAATATTGCGATGCATTGTGATATTTTCCCTGAACACTGTAAGAAAAAGATACAGCCCTTACCAGTGGCTGACTGGCTGGGTGTGATCTGGACAGTGTCTTCAATTGATACATAACTGAAAGCAACTGAATTCATACATAGCTGTATTTATTGAAATGATTTTTGGAGGTGTTGCCATGAAAACAAATACTGGACAGAAATATTACTATTACTGGCGTGGACACACTGACAAAAAGATCTTAGGATTCATAAAAATTAAAATAACAAAATAAGGATAATCAGTGCCGTTTACATGTCCTCAGTGGTCCTTTTGCAAACTGCGTGCTTTATATCAATTTCATTTTTACCTTCTTTGTTTTTAAAGCCAGAATGCATCCAAGCATCTGACTTGAAATGTGATGGAGCCACAGGGCGAATTTTCTCAGTCTCCTCCATATTCTGTTTACGAATGACTCGTCGCAGTATGCCGCGGCCGGACATGCTTGTGACACAAAGCAGCAGACGTCAACACATCCACAGCGCCATCTGCTGGACTGGAAGTTGTATTCCACTTGATTTGGCTGATGTGCGCCAACTATTATTGTATTTTGTTTGTTCATTTTTTTTTTTTTTTATATAATCGATTCTTGCCTTCAAGAATCGATGCAGTAGATCACAAAAATTAGAATCGCGACGCATCGTCATGACGATTATTTTGCACACCCCTAGTTCCAACTTTCTACGGCAGTTTGTGAACAAAGAATTGAGTTTGAAGGGAGTCAAAACTAGAAATGCAGTCACAACATTAATGTAACATAATGTAAGGAGAGTGGTTACTTTTGTAGTCTTAATGCGAATCTGTGGAGACAGGACCAACATGGCTTCCACTTACCTTTTTCACAAGATACTGTGCATATTCTTGTTCAAATCTTTTTAAAAGAGCTTGTTTAAGAATCTCTGCTTGAGGAAACGCCACATCTTTGAGTTTCTGTTGAGCAACAATCAGAGATATTTTCTAAATACAGTTATACAAATAATCATATAAAAGGAAAAGAAAAAAGAGTGCAGATACCTTTAGTGTGTCCTTTTTCTCAGGAATGTTTGCCGTCTTGTAATCCCGATGTTTAGGAAGTTTTTCAATAAAAAGCCTTAAAAAAAAAAAAAAAAAAAAAAAGACAGAAGGTTCTTATGAATGTCTCACATTCTGTTCGTTTCTCCAACAAGTTTTGGGGTTAGGTTTTAAGAAATCAAACTCACGTGATGTATTTGTTGTAGAGCACGAAGGCGTGTTCAATGTTGCCCTCCTCCGTGTAGATGTGGGCCATTCGGATCATCTCCATGCCGGAGCGAAAGTAGCGCCGCGGCGGCATGTCGTCGTTGACCTCTACTGAGCTGCCCTTCTTGGTCAGAGCGCGGACTCGCTCCTCCGGCTGCAGACTGACATCGCTGTGATCCGCCATCGCAGCAAACTGCTCAACCTGACAGACTGGAGAAACAGGCCAAATGCTCTACATAATTAAATACTCCATAAAAGCAAAGGTTAAAGGCGTATGTATTTAAACCTTGACAAGGAGTGGGGATGTGTCAAATTCAAATGAAATCTTTGCGAAAAAAAGTAAATATAAATACACAAAGTTCCTATTTGCTTTTTATTGCTGAGAAAGGTTTCCTTTTCTGAAATAGTAATAGCGTTTTAATGTAAATGTAATTAGATAAGAGGGAAGTCTAACTTTAAAAAACCTTCTGTGCTCTTCTGGCAGTGAATGGGAACACTTTTAAAGAGAGACTGGTGTTTTTCTTGCACCTAGTCATCGTGACAGTGTTGTCCAAGTGATAAAATTCTTGCTTATTCATGCAAGTTATTCACAGTTCACACCAGGATCTTTAGTGGAAGCGCTGCTTCATTTATGCCTGAATGCAAAAGCAGTATTTTAAATCAGTGCTGTCGTCATGTCGATCTCAATGCGAACAGCGCTGCATGCGGACATGACTGAAATACTGGCAGGACATATTTTAGGTCTGATGCACGCACATTAGAACTCTGCGAAAGCTGAAAATCATGTGTAGGTAACAATATTGGTAAACAGTGCGAAGAAGACATCAGTACAGATGTTACCTCACCTGTGATTCTTTTACTCTGGGACATTATAAGGGTGAAAACCCTAACAAAACTACAAATATGAACATAAGGAGCTAAGAAGTTTTAGCTTCACCTGGTTTAAATTCTGTAAAAAACATATTCAGGAATCTTTAGCCATCCGTTCATTGAACAAGTAATTGAAAAAAATAAAGGAAATTTGAATTAGAAGCAAAATAATCAATATTTACAGCCCAACCAAGGGCCTGATCCAAATATTTGTGTGTCTTAAAATGTGTTTAAGAGCAGATCTTAAAAAAAGATGCCGGTATTTAAAGTTTGCAATTCAGCAGACAGCGTGTGCAAGCCGCTTTTATTCAATATACAGATTATATTCTAATGACCAAACCACGCACATTCATGGGTGACGGATATGAAAATGTGAACATTCACCACGTGCAAAGTAATTTTCCACATTGGAAACTCCAAAGCGGCTGTAGTTTGTCTTTCTTAGTACTTCTGATTGTCAGATACAAACGGACGCGGAAAAATATCTGCCGTCATTGTTGCCACAAAGGAGGCATTGATGCAGTAACAGAGCACGGAGAGAGATTATGTGCAAGTAAATCTATTTAGACTGTCAGAAATGACAATAGTAGCAAAATATTGATAAAGAAAAAAAAGTCTACAGGCTGGCACAGGTTAATGCAGCAGGACACTAGACAAGCTTTATACAATTAAACTCATACTTGGTAGGGATAAAACAATCGGATTAATCAATTATTGAAATAACCGACAACTAATTAAGTAATCAATTAATCATTAACTAGAGCATAGAGACTCTAAAACATGACTGTGGCTGAGCAACCCATGTAGAGCAATGATTATACCAAAATTGTAAAAAAAAAAAAAAAAAAAGTGATTAAACATTTTACATTTAAGATAAAACATTTTTTTGTCTATCAATATGGTCTACCCAGAACTCCTCAAGTGGAAAAATTTTAATTCACATGGTTTAATTTCATTAAAAGTCTTCTCTAAAGAACCGTTGACTATATGATTATTAATTGATTCATCTAAAAAATAAATGACAGATTAATGGATTTGCAAAATAATCGTTATTAGCAGCCCTGAGACTTGGACGCATAGTCTTCCGCTTGGGCAGCAGTCCCACCATAGCCTGATAAACCAGACTAAATGTGAGATTAAATGTGTAATTTAAACTCGCATGCAAAAATGATTTTGGGCGCTGGTGGGTGGGGCTAGTTTACTAGGCTAGTCCCACCAGGGAGTTCTTCCAGATGCTCTGGGTGAAACCCGAGGCGCCCCCAGGCCAGCTGAGAGACATAGTCCCTCCAGAGTGTCATTGGCCTCCCCATGGACTACCTCCTGGTGGGACATGGAGACCTCCAAAGGTAGGTATCCAGGGGCCATCCGACAAAGATGTCAGAGCTACCTCAGCTGACTCCTCTATATGTGGAGAAGCGGCTCTGCTCCAAGCCTCTCCTTGATGACCAAGGTCCTCAGCCTATCTCTAAGGTAGTGCCCAACCAACCTGCTTTTACTTGTGTTCATAGCACATTTAGGCTATGAGGTGCACTATAAATATTATTTAGTATTGCCATTCTGATTTATTTTTCACTAATGGTCAGTATTAACTGCATCTCCATGGCTTTAAACCTCAACTTTCTTTTACAGCCACTCCCAAACTTCCAGTAGAGCACATAATCTGCTTGTTTTAATAGGTGGAACCGAATAAATTTGCGCATCTTAACATAAGCATAGCAATCTTTTTAGATCGGCGTTAATATGCCCACTTCCTGTACATTCTAAAAAAAAAATCCAAGTGCAATTTAGAGCCTTTCTATATTAGAAGATGAGGCCTTGAGTTTATTACAATTGGTTTCTATAACTCCATATTTATAAATGAAAATGGGTAGGGAGGGAGTGTTAAGCCGTCACTCTAGAGGCCAAAGTGGTCGCCAAGACTTTGATTCCTGATCTTTGCTATATGTTTTCCCCTCTTCTTTATAAGACAGTTTTCTGTGTAAATGCAATGACCTTTTTTTAAAAAAAATAAATAAATAAAAACACTAAAAAATGCATGCTATAGGTGATATTCTTTCAATTATATTAATACATTTATGATTTCAGCAGCAGGCGAGATACCTGAAGCTTTTCTGCTTTGACTAAACACAATAATTATGTAAACATACATAATTATGTTCATTCACAATCATTTTTTTTTTAGTTTTCAATGATTGATTTTTAAAATGAAACATTATAACCAAATTAGACACTGATAATAATAATGTCAGCATTACAATGTCACGTTTATGGACTGTTTCCAAACTTTACCAAAAGGGGGTGAGTGAGGAAACCATTTCATTTCACAGAGGGCCCTTTAAAAACAACAAACTACTTTCCAGTGAATCGTTACAAATGATTACTGATGGTTAGACCACACCCCTAGAACACTGACTAAAAATCATTATGTCACGCTCTGAACGGTGAGTGTTTCACAGTTTAGAGTAGCAGCAGGATGCAGCGTAGATGAGGAGCGAGGGAGTGACCAGGTTATGAAGCATTAACAGCGTTCTTTGGAAGTATCTTTTGGTTACACTGCAGTAACATTTATGTCTACAAATAAACTCAATCCACGCATATCTTAAACAAAAATGTATTTACTCTGCAATAAAACAAAGCATAGAGACAATCATCCTGTGGGTCAAATGTATCATTAATAAAACCCAGCTTGCTGAATGGCAGAATTCGTCTCCTCTGGGCTCCTGGCTGTGCTGTCTTTGCTCTTCCTCTTTCTTATTAATAGTGTATAGATTATCTATTTAGGTTAGGCCAGTTTCCTGTGCCGTGAAACACAGTTATACCATTATGTCATTAAACAGGTATTACTGTCACAATTTTGAAGCTATGGGCAAGTGCAAAGTCATGGAAAAAATGGCTGTCAATAAATCTTCTCAGCAGAATGAAGAGTTAGATATTCCAGGTAGATTTCTGCTGACTTTTGGTTTATCAAACGTGATGGACCAACACCAGCAGATGGTTCCAAAAGGAACACGAATTTTGTGACTCTCCACACCTTCTCTAGGCTATGGAATCAAATGAATTTTTAAATATTTTCATCTAAAGAGAAAATTTCTACTCTGAGCAGCACTCCAGTCATTTTTTCCCTAAATCTTCCAATCATCTGGTGATGCTAAATAGTTAGAGACGGATTCAAACCTTAGTAAAATCCTGTAAAAAGCTACAGAATGAGATTTTTTCAACAATCAATCCCCTTGAGGCTGCTGTTAGACCTATTACATGTGCATGTTGTATTATCATAATTTTGTCTTCTGTTAAACTTCCAATCAAAATAATAAAAACAGCTTATTAAGCAGAAAGCCTCATTAAGCCTGAGCTTTTATCCTCCCTTGGAGGAATCTATCGAGTCACCGTAATATAGTACTTTTTTAATTAATTACAATTATTCCAATGGTCACATATAATTTTTTAAAGTTGAGAGAAATGGATTTGGGAAGTTTGAATAGTTCAAATCAGAAAACTTCAGCTTATAAAAGAAGAGTTTAATTTTCAGCTTCAATGTTGGACATTGACGTATTGACCTGCACCTGTACATGTGGGTATTATGGGTAACATTAGCTTAAACACAAATATTTTCAGTGAAACAAAAGTATCATCTGCTCTCCCATCTTTTGAAACATATCAGAAAACCAAACACCCTTAAAAAAAAAACAAATAAAGAAGGAATGAATGCAATGAAGTACTTATACTGTTTTCTTCCAGGACTTAAACACAATTGTTCTGCATGTTTACATGATTAATATTGGCTTAATTACATTACAGAAGTTACATTTTAAGTTATCACAATAAGTTAAAAAGGAATCCCTGCTGGGTAAAGAAATCACCAAAAGAGGCCAATGTTTATAACCTTGACTGAGGGGATCGTTACTGACTCTTGTACATAAGGAAGTCCACATATATTGCGAGTGAGATCATAGTTGGTCTCAATCTGAACTCAAGCAAATATTTTTTTCAATTACTTCTTTATTCTGAAATATGAACAATCTACATGTTGTGTATATAACATGTTTTTTTTTTTAAATAAGGTTAAATATTAAACAAAAAAAAAAAGAAAAAAGCCTAGTTAGTAATTCAACTTTCCAGAACAACCTTTCTTCAGCCACATTCACCTCATGTTCACCTCTTTTAAAAACATGCTGGCACAATGACTTATCACAATGGGGGTAATAAAGATACGTTTGACCCAGCAAACACAATCCCTCTATCGATCTGTGTCCCTAAGGAGGAGGGAGTAAATGTTTCCGAAAGGACGACGGGGGTTAGCCTTGCTACCTTAGCTAACGTTAACTTTATCAACGGTTTAACAACAAACTAAAGCCTTGTAGAAAAAAACAGGGCGCGTTTTTCTATTCTTACCTGGACGAACCGAGAAGCGGAACTCCACAGAAACCTACATACAGAAAAATAAATGAACCAGGAAGGCTGTAAAGAATCTCAAATGTGATGGCTACAGTCAGCTTCAACAACAACAGCACTACTGTACCAACTCACTTCCGTAAGTAAAACAACTTCCGCCTCACCATACTACGTCATTGGAGGATGTGGAAAATGTTTTAAATAGTATAATTTTATTTTTATTGAAATCTATTTTAAGTTAATGATAGGTAACATATATTAACTAGTTTCATTAATAGCATCATTATATTTTCAGTTAAAAAAAAAATCTGTTTAGTTTAACTCCCGTGGTTTTTGTCAACGCATACGTCACCCACAGACCTGGTATTCCACAAATCTGCCTGTAAAGATTTTTAAAGGATTGGTGGATAAAGCACAGACGTGGCTCGTTGGTCTAGGGGTATGATTCTCGCTTTGGGTGCGAGAGGTCCCGGGTTCAAATCCCGGACGAGCCCTCGTTTTTTTATTTACCACGATGTTCTCTCTCTGTAACAATCACTGTATGTGTTGTTTCACGGTAAGCACTTGCTTGCTTTGTTGATGTCTTTTAACTGGCAGCTCTCTATTATCTACACTCTATTCAATATACGGTAGATATTGTGAGTTTTGTTTTTACATTAAGGTTAGATTTTATTCATTGTGATACATGTTATGTGATATGTATATATGTTTTTTTTTTTTTTTTTTACATATTTTAACCCTTAGATTGATATTTTTACTAACTAAAATTGAGGTGAAGCAAGAAGCAATGAATTTTTGAGTATGGGAGGGAGACTGTTATAGTAGTAAGGATACTCAAGACTTCTCAAAGTAAGCAAGGGTGGAGTAAAAGAGTTTCAGGTCATTTACGACAGAAGGATAACTGTTTTAGCAAAAGCTACTTTTTACTAGATACGGATTGGAGATAATAATGAAAAAAATAAGAAAAACAAATTAATTAAAGATTTGCCTGGATATTTATTGGCAAAAAATAAACCGGACAGGATTTTAGATTTGCATATCCAGGCAAAGGTAATGTTAGAGAAGCAGAGGTACGATGGTTTGGAAACTTATAGAGGAGGGTCAGAGGTGTAAAAAAAAAAAAAGGTAAAAAACTAACTTTTCACAATGCAAATACTGATAAAATGAAATAAAATAGAAGATCTTTCAGTTATCAGGCTCCTCTCCTGTGGAACCAACTACCAGTTTTCAGAGGTGTCAAGTAACGAAGTATAAATTCAATATAGTATTCAAAATGCGAAAAAATAATGCAAAGAAGAACAATTTTAGCATCTTTTCTGCCATTAGACTGCTGAATGTTATGTAAAATGGGTTATTTTATTGTATTTTATTATATTTATCATATTTTATTACTAAAAAAAATGTAATGTTAGAACTGTAAATATACAGTCAAATGTTCATATCACTGTTTTTATGTATTTTTTTTTACTGTTTTCAAGTCTATGGAGGACCAACTCTGCCATATCTAAAAATAAATACAAAAATAAATAAATGCTTAATAGATAAATAAGCATTCAATGAATTGCCCCCAAAAATACAATAAAAAATAAATGTAGGTAGAAATTAGATTATACAGTGAAACATAAATGTATGCACAGGGCCGCCTTTTACAGCTGCTTTTTGTATCTCTGCTTCTGTCTCCCTGAACCCCAGTCGGCCTCAGCAGATGGCCGCTCACACTGAGCCTGGTTTTGCTGGAGGTTACTTCCTGTTAAAAGGGAGTTTTTCCTCTCCACTGTCACTACAAGCATGCTTAATGTGAGGGATTGCATTCCAGCCACTGAGTCGATGCAATCAACTGGTTTTCCTTAGATAGAAAACTTTGAATCAATTTGATTGGATGATCTGGTGAATTGTAAAGTGCCTTGAGATGACATGTGTTGTAAATTGGCCCTATATAAATAAACTGAATTGTATTGAATATATCTCTTTTAATTAGTTTCTTTATTTCTCTCTAAGACACAAGCCCCCTCATTTACATAATGAGGTAGACATGCATACAAAAATGTTAAAACGACAGGCAGA